CTTATAACCAGATGACCTCTTAAGTCCTCAGCCCTGGCAAAACAAGGTTTGCAGCTTTTCAAGGTGGTAATCTCCCAGGTGACAATTTTGCCTATTGTATTGCAGAAGTACCAAAGTTTGCTTTAATGCCACAGTCTTCTTCCTGTACTTGAAGTCCCACTCATCTAGATCACTACAGAGTGAATTCAGATCAGTTAAGCACTGGACAAATGAGATACTGGTACGGAAAAGGGTCAGCATGGCATCTGCAGAGGGAAAGCCTGCCTCCCTGACCTCCTGGGCTCTAGGAAGGAGCCAGCAAGCGCACAGATAAAATCCACCTAGTGAGTATGATACAGCTGGATTTTCAAAAGGTCTGTGACAATATTGCACGCCAGAGGTTACTGAAGAACCAAATTTGTCTGAAAGCTTGTTAGAGAGCAAATCATTTTTCAGAATGGAAAAGACAAGCCTTAGGGTGTTCCAGGGATAGGTGCTAGGGCTCATCTTAGTCAGCATGGCGGTGACCTAGAGAAGGGGTTGCACAGTGAGATCTCCAAGTCTGCTGGTGATAATGCAGGACCAGTTGTGAAGAAGTCTGTGGCCAGACCTCACAAAACAGAGCAGGTGGGCAGATGGGCCTCAGTGTAGGCAAATGTGAAGTAATGCAGCTGAGGAAAAACACCATGCCTATGTGATGCTGAACTTGGAACTGGCACCTGCAGCTCAGGAGAAAGATCTGAAAGTCATCGCTGACAATTCCTGAAATCATATGGTGGCCAAAAAAACCCCTAGCAGAATATTGAGTGTCAGAAAGGGGATAAAGGGATGTCAGTTTGTTGCTACATGAAACTTTTTGCCTTATGAGGAGAGCCTAAAGGGCTGGAGCTCTCCAGACTTGAGGGAGAGAGACTGAGAGATGAGCGAGGTTTACAGAAATCAAGGCGGTGGATCAGGTGAGCACAGAACTGTAATCCCACATTACCAGAACTAGGACACACTCAATGAAACTAGCAGGAGAACAGTTTAAAACACATAAAGTTCTTCTGGAGCTAGCTGCTGCGGGGCTATGGAGACAGACAGTACCAGAAGGTTCAAAAATGAATTATACAAACTCCTGGACAGCTAGTTGTCTTTAGTGGAAGAATTACTAAAAGGACTTTGCGGACACTGTGATGTCTTTAATAAAATTGTGGATCAGGGACAGTATGAGAGGAATGGGCTGCAGAGTTTGCATTTTCTCCCTAAAAAGCAATTCCTTTTGCCACTGACTTCTAATTAATTTTCTTTACAAGCACTGCGTAGCTTATTTTAAAAAGCATGTTTTGTGGCAGAGCTGACACTGTTGCAACAGACCAGTGCAGTGCTTTGATGCTTTATTTGAACAGCACACGGCCAGAGCCAGCAGGACAAAGGCTTCCCTCTGCCTCAGCTCATTTTGGGGATGGGCTGCTAGTACAGCTATGCTTCTTTCATTGCAATTACAAAGCAAGGGGAAGCACATGGGCATCTGCATGGCACCATGTTGTCATGGTTGCACTTCTGGGCAAGCTGGTGAAGAGAGGGCTCACTCATGCCTCCACACAGATGCAATGTCATGTGCAGAGTGGGCTCCTGCCGGAGCTTGTGGGCTGGGAAAGCATTTCCATCCTTCAGTGCTCACCAGTGGAGATAAGGTGCTGTGGATTAGGGACAACTTCTTTCTGAGTTTTAGACTTCATGGTCTCAGTTATGTCATGAAGCTTTCCCTCAAGGGTGATTGTCTGTCTGATGGAGTTTTTGCAAAGATCCATATGTCAGCACAGCAGTGTCAGCCTCCTGAATGGCCCCAGGCAAGGGGAATATGGGCCAAAGGGACTTTTGATTTGACCCAGGAGAGAATTCCTTGTATTTTCAAGGCTGCTTCCCATTCCTGTTGTCTGAAGCCATTTGTGTGAGTTACAGATGATCCCTTCCCCTGTGCAGACAACCAGAGCTAATCTTAGCCTCGCATGTCAGAATAACACTAACTGGTGAGAAACTTTTCAGAGAGCAGAATTCAGTGCCTAAGATCAGGAAGCATTCTGCAAAACATAGAACGCTTCATGATCTGCTGTAACTTCTACTTTTTTTTCCTGCGTCATCTTTCCCTTTCCCTGTTTGCCACTTATTGTATCTATTTATTTGCTTGCTTGGTTGCGGTACTTGAAGTCCTTCCTGCTGCTGCAAGGACCTCTTATCTCCCATTTATTCTGAAAGTTTGCTTCAGATCTTGAGAAATCTCCACTGTCATGATGTGCTGTGATATCTTCACAGCTCTTACTTTCTAAGACATAAGTAATCCTTTCAGTTGTGCTGAACTTGAATTTTCCGACACGTATGTTCAAGAATGTAATCTCTGTTTATACATATGCCACTAATTTCTACAAGCTGTGGCCTTCCATCTTTTCTGCTTTTCCATGGTGTTTCACAGCTGAATGTCTCAGAGATGAGAGACCTCTTTTAAGATTGAGCCATATTTACATGGTCTCATACATATTTCTGCACTCTTGTCATATAGAACATGGCATGCAGCTTGCCCCATGATATACAGCTTACTTTTTCCTCCCCCTCTGCATTGTTCATGGGCTTAAGGTTCATAGCAATCTATCTAGGCTGTGCAAGTTGTATCAATTTGTTTGATTTCATCAACTGATTTTATGAGCAGTTGGTGAGAAAAGAGGCAGAGAAGTGTGTAGAAATCCAGGTCAGAGCTACCTGGTGTAAAGAGTGACTAGTTTTGATGTCCAGTAAACTCTCCTTCTAGTACGTGTCTCTAAAGCAGCTAGTGAGGCTGAGGCATTGCTTTTAAATTACTGGGAGTCAGCACTGGTCCTACATGTGCTGTTGGTTTGATATTTGAGGTCTTGTTTTTGTGAAGGGTTAAAAACCAAAGAGCATGTGCCCAGAAGGCTCAGCAGTGAGGCCAACTGCAGAGACCATGCTGGAAACCACTGAGTTTGCAGGAGTTGAGCCGATGGAGACCGGGGCTAGAAGAGCTAATGGGCGCGAGGAGCTCTCAGCATGGTAGCAAAGAAGTCTAGCAGACACTGTAATCAAAATAAATAAATATCTCACTCTTTTCAGAGATTTCAGTTTCACTTTGCACTTTTCTCTTTATTCATTAATAGCATTGGAGGCACTTTCAGAAATCCCCTATCAGGACTAATTTCTTACTTCTTAATGTGCTGTTACACATATGGCAATGGCAGCTTTATACCTAAATAACACAGAATAAAAACATTTAGGAAGATATTTTTTAAAAAGAAGAGACTAAACATCTATCCTGGGGTACTAAAGTCATGACTAGCTGTATGCTCTGATTAGCTCCTGCTTCTGCTGAAACACACACTCCATTTCAGTGCTCAGCTCTGTCCTTGAAATTAAGTTGATTCACAGGAGACTAAAACTGGGTGTAGGTTGATACGGTGAATTTGAGTCAGTGGGATCAGCTGGACTACAACTTCTAAGGGGGAAATACATCCCATATAGCCAAGTTATGCTGAAGGTAGTCAGGATCCAACCTCATTTTCAATTCCCCTGTTACCAGAACTGGTTTGTAACTGCCGTTCCCATCTGTGAGGAAAATCATTTTTTTTTTTTAAAAAAAAGTCGTGTTTGCAAAAACAAACTGATCAACATAGGAATATCTGCATAAGGCAGAACCCCTCAGCCACGATCACTGTTGTCTTTATGAAATGTCCATGTTCTAGGAATATCAGAAGCACCAGCTTCATCAGGCTGTAATGTCCTTGACCTTGCAGGAATATGTTAATATATTGTCCCCTACAGCTTATCATGCATGCATATGGGCATCTATGTCATTTTAAGAGGGTGTTTAAGGCTCAAACATAGGGCCACAAAACTGAAAAAGGAGAGTATTCAAGGCTATCCCGGTGCTGAGTCCGTCCCCTCATCAAATGCAGAATATGATGGTTAGCCAAAGCTGCCCAGGCTGATGATATTCCAAAACTGGCAATAAAATAGTTGGATGCAGAAAATCCTCTAGCACAAGGGGGTTTTGCTTCTCAAAATTGAAATAAGAGTAAGGGATGGTATAAACCCCTGTTGCTAGAGAAATGTGGAGAATCCCTTTTTCAGTGGGTTGATTTTTGACCAGCTGCACTTTGTTCAGGGGCTTTGCTCTGGGCTGCAGCGCGCTGTGCCAGCTGTGCCTAATTCTTAACTCTGGATTTCATCACTCTGTGTGTATGTAAAAATTTTGCTGTCCTTTTAGCTCATTTCTTTTTACGTGACTTGCAATAGTTCCAGTTACTCACGCTGTATTTCTATAAGTGGCATGAAACCCCTAATCACCCAATTAGAATGTGTAATGATACTGTAAAAATCCCTATTAAACTGAGCAAAGGAATATTTAAAAAAGCTTTTAATAGTAGTCACTAGACATGATAGTAGAAGAGGGAGGATAGATACATGAGGTTTATTACATGCAGATAACATGGTACTTTCTAAATTGAACTTCAAAGGACTATGCCCAGTTTATTAATGTAATTACTTCTATAAAAAATTATCAGAATATAATGAATAAATTAAAAATGTTATCTATACAGTATGCTATCAGTCTAGTTCTCAGACTGGAATTAAAAAGAACACAAAGAATCACAAGACTTCAGGCTCTCACTTATTTTCACATTCATATGGCATTTAAAATACTTCTAGATCCTTTGTTAAAGTGTATTATAAATCAGATTTAGATAGAGGAAGATAGAAATCTCTTTGCTTCCATTTGGAAGAATACACAAATTCAGTAATACGTTTTCAGACATATATTGCTGGATTTGGCAACTTAAATGCTAGATTCCTCTTCTTCAGAGAATAAATCAAGAGTTTAGAAACTATTTGAGGGGGGGAAGGTAAATAAATGAAACCCTTCAACTGCTTTTGCTTGCCTACACTTCAAGGTAAGTTTTACCATGTATTAACCGTGAGACAGTGTTCTCCTTTTGCCGCTTTCCATATTGTTTTGCCTTAAACTCTTCCAGGTTTATTAGCATGCCTATGAGTAACAAGCATGCCCTGGCTTGGCAGCCTTCTCTCTTCCCTACATCAGCAGCAGAAGAGGGGAAGGCCATGTGGTACGTTAGTGCAAAGCCTTCAGCTGGCTGAAAATTAATCACCTGGGGGCTGTGTATTAATTTCCAGCGGAATCAGTTCCCTGAACTGGCTCACGGAGCAGGGACACCAGCTTCAGTGCCAGTTCATGGCGGGGGGACCGGAGCATGCAGCCGTGCAGGGTGGAGCTGCAGCTGCCTGCACGTGGCCTGGCTTCACTGCCTGGGGAGCAGCCCATTTGAGGAAAAGCACGGTGCCGGTTTAATTTTAATTCATGAGGAAAGATTTTTCTTTCAAAAGAAAAGATTTTTTTACTTTGGAAAGCATGAATATATATACTCTGCAAATATACATAAATATATCAGTCAGAGAAGGTATTTAATACCCCAGGCTAGACACCACCGAATCTGGTGATCAGACAGTCCTATGATGTACTTGGATCCTGAGTATGATGGAATTGTTCTACAGTGTTGGCTTTAATCATTGCACTGGTTATTACTTTGGTATCACAAGGGAACTGTCATTTGAAGGAGTATATAATTAGATTAGGATGTGAAGCAAAAAAAGGAGCCATAAACCTATGTCTTTTATTACAAATTTCCTTCCTGACATTCTTTTCAGTACACCAAATAGATCGAAAAGATTTTAATTTTTTCCTTTTATCTCCTATTTGCATCACCTGATGAGCTCTTATTCTAAAATACAAATACATTACTTCGGCCAAATTCAGACAGACAAAAATATACTTAATGAAGGAGCATACTGAAGCATTAAGGAGCATCACTTGGGAATTGGGACTTGCAGCAAGAAACAAAGTATTGGGTGACTTTTTAATTCATTTTGAACACAGTAAAGCAAGTCTTCTCTTCAAGTCATTCTCAGAAGATCTATGGTACAAAACTGTGCTCATTTACTTAATATGAAAGCTGCTCAGCTGGACAGAAGGCTAGACGCAGCCTGAGCTGTTTGTCATTACTGGGACCAATGTTCTTGTTGACATCAAACACAGACCATGAATCACAACAGCTGAATTCTCTGTTTGAAAAGACAGATGATCGTTGGACAACACTGCACCACAGAAAGCCCTGCTAGGTCACTGGCTATCACTTTCCAAGGCCAACCTCTAATCCTCAGTGTAAAAGGTGAAAAGAAAGAGAGTGACGCTGCGGAATCATCCTGTTTCTAGTAAACAATAAAAAAAGGCACATTTAGACACCACCACCTGAAACCGAACTTGGTTAAATGAGAGAAAATGTCCATCCCTGTACAATATCTGGAGCTGCAGAATGCAGCTGCGTGGTTGCTGTGCCTTGGAGCACATTGGAGAAGGGTCTGGCTTGTAGCGATGGTTGGGCACTACAATGCTGCTGGTTTGAGAGTCCAAAACGATCAACAATCTAGAGAGAGCCACCACCAGCGGTATCTCTGTCATTCAGTAAATAAACAGCGTGAAGTTACCCGAGAGGTATCACTGCTGAGGAGTTCTTTTCTTCACTCTGATGCAGCTGACTGTTTGCAGCTGAAGATATCTTCCCGCTCCTTGAAGGACCGTGTCCTTTGCCTCCTGATCTGTTTTATCCTGAAGAATGTCCAGAATATACTCCCTTCTTTTCTGCTTGATAGTCTATTTTCTCTGCTGTTGCTCTAGTACCAAGGAGCTTTTTGGGAGGACATGGGTTATTCTGATTTACTGGTTTTCCATGTTTCCTCTTCTTGTTCTCACTAGCAACTGAGAAATAGAGTGTTAAATTTTCATACAATATAAGGTTCTTCTATGGCAAAGTAGCTATCTATGAACTGGAGGAACTAGGTGAAAAGGTGGGTCTAAGGCAATAGAGATTTTGTTTCATTTAATTGGGGTGGAGGAATGAGGGCTTAGTGTCACCTCCTTTGGGATGCTTGGAGCACGACATGCAATTATGAGAGCCTTGTTTTGTGAACTCAGGAAGCCAGAATTATCAGGGGCTTTCCTTAGGATTGTATAACCCACAAACTTTTTTTCTGAAAGACATTTTTCTTAGCAGGGACTCTGTCAAGCAAAGCTTTCACCAGAAAAAATTACCTTGCAGGGAATTTGTCTTGCGAATTGCTCCTCAGGGACCTTTTTCCCTGGGTATATGCACTTATTTATATTGTGTATCACTTTTTATAAATCCTAGAGATATACATCCATTCTGGATGATCGTAACTGCAAGAGGAATTTCAGAAATATTGTAAATACTTTGCCAAGTAATGTGGGATTACTTACTTTCTAAACTCTTACTATATTAAACTGAATCACACTGAAAGTTCTGTCCATTTTATCACATTTTATAGGTGTCTCCTTCTCAAGGAGAACCATAAAATACAAATTCTGGAAAATTCTATACAAGTAAATGAAGTCCTGCTAGAGTACCTTGCAACTGGTGAATTTTTCTTATATAAACTCAGAAATAAAAATTGGAATTAGTCCTGAATCACCTACTTATTTTCATCAATTAGATAAAGAGTTTAGGTACTCAGTTTCAAGCTTGAGGTTAGTTGACATGAATGTATACTAGGCTTGAAATCTGTGGTTTCTAAATTTGATCTTTAAATTCTCAGTAAGACAAAAAATCAAAAGTTATAAACTTTGAATAAAGTTAGTTGCAAAGTTGCATGTGTTTGGGGATCAATTCATTACTGATGCAAGCAGACGTATCTTGTAACAATCCATGTTTACACATAGACCCACAACAATGATGAGTTTGATAGGTCAGCGAAGTACTACAGCCTCCTGCTATCATTAAATTCTGAAGCTGCTGTGCAATTCTGGCTAGCAACTTTGCAGGGATGACTCATAGGTCTTCCTCTCTGTGCCAGACTGACTTCCTTCTGCTCAGGTCTCGCCCTGCTTCTCTGTTAACTCCTCTTGCGTGTCCACCCTAATGGTCCCAGTCCACTGCCTTCCTCTTCATGTCGTCTTTTCACCCACCCCTCTCTGACTTGCCTCCTTGCCTCCAGCTCTGGTACCTCAGAAATGCATATTTTGAACAGACTGCTCGGCCCTTTGAGAACACTCCCTCCACCCAGCACGTCTCCACAACATTTGCCCACAATCCTATCCTTTCACCGCCTATGGAGAGCTCTGTGTTTTAAGAGGTTCTTCCAAGAGGCAGAGGGATCCCAGTGGGGACTGTTGCTGTGCAGTCAGCCAGTGCTCAGGCAATGGACTCCGGATAGCACAGGCTACCAGAAGTGAAATGAACTAAGACGCCATTAAATCTAATGCAGATGCTCTCTGCTATGACTTGTTTCTTGCTAGTTTGTATGAAAGACACTTCATTCAAATAACTTGTGTTGTCACCTGGCTTATAGGTCAGCCACCTTGAGTTTTCACAGCACTGTCCTGACAAGACTGTCACAAGTGCCATAATTAGTTGGTCTGCCTGGAGTCCATCACAAATTTAACACAGTAACCTGGGCTTTTCTCCTCTTAATTTTGCAGGAGGTCTCACCTTTTAGCATTTACTCCATGCATTATTTAAAAAAATACCAAGGGAATTGTCACATCTTATTTTCACAAAGGTCCAGGCTCTTTAAATCTGGCAGTTCCTTCTTGTCCAGTGTGGCTTTTCCTCTTCTTCCATGAAGCTAAAACCTTCTTCATCTCACAGGTTGGCTTCCACAAGCTCCTAGCCTGCAGTTTTGACAAAGGTTCTTTGTCTTGCTTCCCAAACCTGTTTTATAGGTCATCTTTCCAGCTTATCATCCTGAATATTACTTTCCCACTTTGTTTCTCTCTGCTGCCTCTCCATCTTCTGCCATATTAAACACCCCCGCCTTTTCTTTTCCTTTAAAACTCCTAATTACATAAATCCATGCACTTCTTAAGTTCTGCTGTGGCACGAACCCCTGCCTCTAATTAGTGTCGCCAGCTCCTCTTCAGTTGAATTTTCCTTAGAACGTCTTTATACTTTCTTCCTAACTCCTGGAAGCAGGGCTTTAAATAAGCACAAAGCCTCTCTTTCATCTTCCTCAAAACCTCATCTTTCCTGGGAAATATACTCCATAGTGGGCAATTTGCAGTGCCTTGTGCTTCTGACTCATTTGGCAGATGATGGGTACTACCGTTCTCCAACTATGACATCTACTGTGACAGTCCTCCATTGTAAATTTTGACTGCAACACTTTTGCGACAGAGACCATATCCGCATTACCTGCATGGATATCACTTCTGTAAGGCCCCTTATCACTATGTAAGGCCCCTAAACAGCAACCAGAGCCTAAACTGCTACTGCATTGCAAGAAAGTCCTGAACTGAGAGATCTGGAGGACTGATGTGTGCCGGCTCTATGAAGACCAAATATATTCCAAGCTAGTAGTGAAGGAGAACACTCAGTTGTGATTTTGTGGTACTTAATTTTGTGCAGTGCTTCGTTACCACAGTGATAGGAACTAAATAAAACTGTAAGATGGTTTCTGAAACCTTCCCTCAGTGGAGAGTGGCATGTGGGCTGAACTGTTTTTAACTGGCTTAGGTGCTGATTTTGGGATAGAGCTGAGTGGAAAGAACAAGTGATGCTTGAATACATGCCTTAAGTCCATCTGGGTTTTCATGTTAAGAGGGTAGATCTCCATTTTGACAAAGCAGCCTTTCATGTATAACCTTTGCAAATGTTTTGTATTATTTTTGAGGGAGATTTTATCTCTCCATGGGGAGGTAACATTCCCATTATGCTCTGTCCTACAGATTCGAGCAGTCCAAAAAGGAACAGAGAGAGCTGAATAAACAGAGTCCATCCAATATGCTGCTTCTCTAATATGTCTGGTGTAAATGATAGTCACTGCAAATGACTAAAATAGATAAGAAATGGGGCGAAAATCCAATTAACAAAAAATTGGGGAGATCTTAGAAATAAAGTAGGGTTAATATTTCAAGCTTGTTTTCATGAGATATCAGCATATGGGTTTATAATTTTACATGTAGCGTTTAAATATTCACACCCAGAATCAATTGGGTTTGTGTGCCCATGTGTTTTCCAAACCATGGGTTACCTACAAGAGGACCCTTGCCCAAGAGAAATTTCCCCTGCTTGTGTATGCTAAGTATTGTATTTTCGCAGCCTGAGTCATCTGATCTTTGCGTGCACAGAGGCACAAACCTTTGAGTTGTACAAACAGCGCTACAGTTCCAATGATAGCCAAGGATTTTGCTGCAAAGAAAAGTCGTCATGTTACAGTAAACACCCTTCATTCAATATTTATGATAAAATGACGATTCACACATGCTTTTTGAGTGCATCT